TTAGTACCACCCACAGTGTAAAGTATTCAAATACAAGGTGAGACCTGAAGAATGTAAAAATAAGAAAATGAACTGAGTCTGAATAGGCTAACTGGTCACCTAACTGGAAACTATAGGTAACAGATGAAAGGACTGCAGTTTGAAAAAATAAAAAGTAGCTGTTGAAGAGGAGATCTAGAACAATGAGAAAGAGAGCTCTATTAAAATTACCTCCAGTGATCTTTGACCAGAGATGCAATAGCAGAGGAGCAGCCTTTTGGTAATACATCTGCAGGACCTTGCTAAGACTGAAAGAGTTAATTGCTAACCAGACACTACTCTATGTTTAGAGAAAGCGTTTACAAATCTTGACATGAGAGTAAAGAAGATACAGATATCCTGGGAAATCTTCCAGCTGTTCTGGTGGAGTTCTCTTTTCTGGAAGTGCAAATGAGTAACTTCTTCAGCTGTCATTTTAAGAAATCCAGGACATTGTTAACAGATCATATTTAGTCATGGGGACATAAAAACTCTATTTGGAAATGCAAATATATACTGGAAATATCTTCTGAAAGTGAAATGATAAGCAACTTCACAAAGCAGGAAAACTGGAAGTTACTTTAAGTATCAGAACTTTGTCCTTATCCTGGGCACACTAAATCCCCCACTAAATCTCTCTCCCAATGTGTCTGTTACATATAAGGACAGCAAGTGTGGAGTGGTTATATTTAACCAGTGAAACAAAATCAAAGGCAATGGCATATTAACAAAACAACAACAACAAAAAAACCACCACCAACAAAAAATTATGCACTGTATATCTTGAACAAGTGACTTTTTAAAGCTTTTAATCGAGTCCACAGACTTCTAAAAGCATACACATGCTTTACAAAATGGTAAGAACACTTTTAATAAGTTGTATCAATTTAAAAATATTCCTCAGATTTCTTCTGCAGTCAATACCTTTTCAGTTTTACCAAGTAAGACTTGATTTACTTAGGTGAAGATTTCTTATGCTTCTTATATACACATAAGTACCTAGGTTTTTTCCTTAAAGATTTTATACTGTTTTGGTTTTGTAGTCTGAACAGTAAAAGAAATCATGTATTCTGCTGAAGATGAAGCCTATGAAGATTAAGCACTACTATCCATTGCTGAAATCAAGTATGAAACAAACTCTTTTCCTTATCTCTGGGTGCAGATAACTAGCTATACAGATTATCTACAGTACAGATTTTGTTTATAGGAGATTTAACCGCTCCAGATGATTTATCATATGTTTGTCTTCAAAGATTCTTGGAATTCTGCCAAACGTCATTTTAGATTTGCTTTTCAGATTTCTAGTTTTTTGTATTTAATAGGGGTATCCTTAATACAATTCTTAGAAACTATATTTGTAGGATATTTACGTATTGTTTGAGTTTTAAAGAATCTCTGTGTGTTTCTACTTCACTTTCCAGCTTCTTCAATGAGAAGAAATTACTATCCTTTTCTCTTCCAGAATGCTGAAGAATGCTTTAGGTCTTATTCCTATGCTGATCGACAACTGTAGAAAGTATTTTTAATATATTCTATACATGTCTTATGTTATTCCACTTTATGATTTCTCATGCTCTGTAGTACATTTTGTGTAAAGGAGAGAGAAAAATAGTACTGATATGGATAGGCCAGTGCATGTGGATTGTCACTACTGAATGGCTCTAACCACCAGAGAGCAAATGGGTAAGAACTGGGGAAAACATGTTTTTTCCAAATTCTTTTTAGGGGAATAGAAAAACACACAAACAAGAAGATAAAGGACTAAGATTCTGATTTTACTCCCAGGGAGGATGGGGGAAAAGTAGAAGAATGTTTTCATACCTAGAGATGCTGTTTGTCCTTCCTTTCTCACACCTAACCGATCAGGAAGAAAAGAATAACAAATCTGATGCCTGAGAGTGTCGACACAAGGCACAGAGACTGTCCTTCCTTGGGCAACTTTCTGGAGGCAACAGGCAGGCACTTTTAAGCAGGATCTGAAAAGGAAACCACTGTGCTTAATAGCTACAGCTATCCTTCATTCTGTCATATAATCCCTGCTTAAAAGTATCTGTCTTCAGCTCCATACTGTCATGTCACAGCAAGCCATCCAATTTAATAATGCTTTGTATGGAAAGGTTCTTCCCAGTCATTGTTTTAAACCTGCTGCCTGATCATTTACTGCGTCTCCCTTAGGTATTGTGTAATGAAAAATAGCAAATGATTATTTCCTGTTGGGCTCCTACATCTCGCTCATGATTTCATGAATCTGAAGACAATCCGTACTCCCTCCGTTTCCCAGTTAGAAGTTATCTCATCACACAAATTTCTGTACATTTCCATACACAGAACATTTAGCCTTGTATGTTTTCTAGATCCCCCCCTTTCCCATGAAGGAGACAAACCTGTAAACACTATTCAAGTACACAAGAGATTTACACAGCAGCGTAATGAGCTCTTCTGCTTTGTTCTCAGATGCTTTTGGAGTCATTTCTAACATTGTTTGCCTTCTTGACTGCTGCTGAGTAGCAGGCTAATGTTTGCAGAAAACTATTCACAATGACTCCCAATGATAAAAGCTAATTTAGAGTCCATTATTGTGTGTGTTTAGTTAGGGTTATTTTCATTGCTATTTACATTAGTTACTGTCGTATAATTTCATCTGCCATCTTGCTGCCTGATCACTTGCTATTGTGAGATCCTTCTACAACTGCTCACAGTCAGCTTCAGTTTTGTTTGTCATGAATAATTTTGTGTCATTAGGAAACTTCAGAGACTCCTGGTCCTTGCAGAAGGAATTTTAGGCTATTCAAGTACAATGCTTTTCAGCCAGAAGTACTCTAATCCATTCAGTCCTAAGGAGAACTCAAAGAAGAAAGTCAGTAATGTAGTGTTGGGTAGTCAGTATCTGGGAAAGAAACTGGAGGTTGATCTGGTTTTCTACTTGGGAGAGAGGTACCTGATGTCAGTTGTGATGTCCGCTGTGCTTTCTGACACTTGGAGATGATTTTTCAGCCTTGTGCACTCCTATAACTCGAGGACACATCCTTTCCATCACTGGTGCTTGCCTTTTGCATTGTTCACTGCACTGCTGTGATCCTCCCAGCACATCCTGAATTTTCGTTCTGCCTAATTTATTGCCTGCCACTCCTCAGTGCTCTTTGGTGCTCTGCTTTGTGCTCATTCTTCAAAGCATTTCCATTTCACTAGCTACTGCTGCTGTACTCTCTCAGTTTTGCATAATTCGAATTAATCTGCAGAAAGGCAAGGTGTAGCTTGCAAATATCTTAAAAAAACATGTCTGGGATCTGTTCCTTGCCTGCAGGTACGGGTTTTCCAAACACATGTACAAATCCTAACAATAAACAGCAACAAAGAAGAACAATACTTTCACTACAGGAGAAGATACATATTGCTTTAGGGTTTCTTCAAGTAAATATTTTAATGCCCATAGATCTACTTACCCTCATCATAGGGATGGTAGAAAAGTGTTTAATATACTTAGTAAATTTCCCCCATTAAAGAATGGGATATTTGAAAGACATTTGTGTCCTGCTAAGAATTATGGAAAAAATTATCTGATTTAACCTGTGAAAGTTTTATCTTTGATGGAGAGTTCAAGTGTGTTTTAAAGCTTTCCTTTGGGAGATGTGCCTAAAATAATTATGTAAGATTAAGACCTATGTATCATTTAAACAAAATGTTTAATATGCCTTTCTACATGTTAGTTTCTCTTTGGTTTAAGTATTGGCAAGTTAGAAAAAAATCTTTGTAGTTCAGCAACTTTAGAATTTGGTATTGAGATGGTCAGAGAATATTTAAGAACGTGTTGTTCTGAAACAAGACAGCTAACTACCAAGTACAGTTTTCTGAAGTTTCTTTCAGTCTGTGTCCTCTTTTTTAGGTTAGTAATGTTGAGTGCCCACCTGACTTAGCTTACTTTGATGCCTCCTAAAATCCTGCTTCATGTTTTTACACTATTGGAAACTGCATCTAGAAAGAAAAACACACACACACACACAATGTTACTTAATGAATTCCCTTACTTACTTTCACGGCATTTAAAATGAGACTTGCAAAATCAGCTGAGAGAATAATGGATTTTTTTTTTATTTTCTGAGAAGCTTGTTGTAGACTAAGGGGGCTGTGTCAAGAGAACCTCCTCTGATGGTCTCTGCTTCAACAGGAAAACAGACAGAGCTCTTCATCCGCCACAGTCCCCCAAACGATCTGCTGTACAACGATGGTACAGTGGAACCTCCAGTTTGAGAAATGGGGGAAAACACCCCAGCGGCATGCACCCTGTCTATCTTAGCTTATTGAATTGTCTAGGCCCTGTCATTATCTCGCTGGGCTCCTGTAACTCTCGCTACTTTCATGAACTCGCCATCGCCACTCTTCCCCACCTTGTACCCCTGAAGCTTGCCCCCAGCGGCATCCTGTCCTCCCGGCCTTTCGGTCCCTCTCTCCAGCGGGTGCCGTAGGAGGCCTCGGGGCAGCGCCGGAGCCTGCAGCCTGCCCGCGGCTACCCGTGACAGCCGGGGGCGGCCCCGCGGGAGCAGCGCAGCCTCCAGAGGTGTGTCTGGGCTGTCACGGCAGCTGTCACGGAGCATCTACAGGGGCTAAAAAATAATAATAATAAAGCACGCTCATCAAACTAAGGAAGCGATTTCTCCTGCGCTGAGCGACAGCACCTAGCAGCTGCCGCTATCAGGGGACAAAGAGCGCGGGGCCGGGCACGGCGCTGGCTGCACCGGGGCTCAGCCACGCCGCTGCCCCCCTCACTGCTCCGGGCTCCGGTCCCCTCCGGTCCCTTCCCTTCCCGTCCCCTGCCCTCCGCCCGGCCCCGCCGAGCCCCCCGGCTACCTGCCCTGCCCTGCCCTGTCCCCGCCGCCTGTCGCCGGCGGGTGCCATGCGGCGCCGAGGGCACCTTGTGCGGGCGGGGCGGGGGGCGGCGCGGCGGGGCTGCGGCGGCGGCGTGGCGGAGCGGCGGAGCGGCTGCCCGCCCCCTGCTTCCCTGCCTGCCTCCCTCCCTCCCTCCGTCAGACGGGCGGGGAGCTGCGGCGGGCGGGAGCGGGAGCGAGAGCGGCGGCGGCGGCGGGGCGCAGCCGCCCGGGCCGCAGCGGGGATGCGCCGCGGATCCCAGCGACGAGGTGGGGGCGCCGAGCGGCTGGGCGGTGGTGGTGGGAGGGGGGGGGGGGCGCGGCGCCGGGCCCGGCGGGGTGCGGAGCGGTGCGGGGTGCGGTGCGGGGTGCGGTGCGGTGCCGCCATCAGGGTGGGAGCGAGGCGGCGGCGGCGGCTGCGGGGCCCAGTGCGGGAGCCGGGGCCTGATCCGGCAGCGGGCGCCGCGGCGGGGCCGGGGCGAAGCCGGCGTTACGTAACCGGCGGCCGAGAGCCCCCGGCCCCGCGGCTCCCCCCGCGCGTTGGAGACCCCCCCCCCGGCAGCCCCCGGCCCCCCGAGGCGGGCGGTGGGACGCGGCCCCGCCAGGTCCGTGCGCCGCCGGGGCGCTGCGCGGAGCCGGTGCTGGCGCTGGGTACCGCCGTGTGCCCGTTCTCCCAATCGCTGTCAGAAATAGGGGCAGGGATGGCCGGCGTTCCCGCTGTCCTGGCATTGCTGCAAAACCCGTGCGAGCGCTCGGGCTACGTATGAATTCATTAAAGCAGCGGCTTGGAGAGCATCCTCTTCCCAGAAGTGCTGATGCTTACAGCGAGCATCTGACGTGGGCTTTGCCCGTCGTTTCGGCCCATCGCTTAATTTTATTCTGCAACCGCTTTAGCGTGCTGCACGACTACATCGCTGATGCTCTTCCCCAAAGCTTCGGCAATGCAGATGCGAAGGACTAACATAACAGTACGTGAAACAAAAGACCTTGCTGCACTTCTCGGGGCGAGCTGGGAGTCCAAGGTCGAACCGCGAGCTGCAGTGCAACTTGCGAGGGGAGCCCAACCGAGCAAAGTGTCCGCGGGTCCTAGCCGAGGGCTGAAGGGACAGGCAGCGTCGGCAGCAGACGCTCACAGAGTAGGTGAAGAAAACTCCTTGGTGAAGGTGTGAGGAAATAGCTATTTTGGGAGTACAATCAACTGTATCAACTCAATTTTAATGGAACTAGTACGTTTAATTGCATGCCTAACAGATTTTCTGTTCTCCAGATGATTAACTTGCGGAATGACACCAGCTCAAAGATTAAAATCTCATCAAATATCTAATGGTTTCTGTATAATATAATTGTGTTTGGTTTATAATAGATCTTTTCTAATAACTGGTCTTTGTCCATGTAGCTGGAGATACTGTAATTAGACTTTTTTTTATCTTGGTGTGAATGACATGACCTTGACCTCTAGAGGTTAAGCAGATTTGGTTGTATGGATGACAAGATCTTAAAAGTTTAATAGGACATTTATTTTTATGTATATATAGTATATAGGGTTTTCTTTTAATTTGGGTTAAGAAGTTGGCAGAAGAGGGATACCATCTCTTTTCTCTCCATTCCAGATAAATTAAGAGATGCAAACAACCTAAACATTTATTATTTAAAATATCCAAATGATGTTTATATTTGAACTACTTTTTCTGTACAAGTAAGTAATATGATGTATACCTGGAAAAACAAAATATCGCAGGATTTGTGAATTTTCCTCAAGCTCACTTCTTCCACTGCCTTTTGGTTTCCTGTATGCTCCCAGATGCTTCACAGGGCTTTTGAGCCCTGTAGCATTAGGGCTATTGTCAGCAGCCTTTCTTGTCACTTGCCCTTCTTAGTTCTTAGCCCATTCATAGCTTACTCACACATGTCCATGATGCTTCAAGTTTCTGTTGCCATTTTTCTAATCTTTATTTTGCTTTGGTTCCACCCAGGGATAAGCAAACATTGATTTGTGTATCTCTATGACTGAGTTTTTTTGTTGTTGTTGTTTGTTTGTTTTTTCCAAGTGCTGGTGTTGAGAGGCTGTACCATATTTACATTTAGATGTTTGGATGTGTTGTTTATACAACCATCAAAAATGTAACATTGCTTGCAGGTGTTACTCTGCAACTGAGCAGCCCATTCGGGCCTTGCTGCAAAGGCACTGTGGCTGTGGAAAGGTAAAGCATTGCAGCTTCTTCAGCAGGTCCATCCCCGCCTCTTGCTCTCTTGTGTGTGCTGCTGGAGATGTGACTTCTTCCTTCAGCCCAGGCTGGAGATGGAGGCAGGGGATATTCATATTACTGCTTCATTTTCCTTCACTTCTTCGGCATGCGTGTGAATAGGATGCGCATGTGTATCTACCCCGTGGTGCCTTGCGTTTCTTCTGAAGTACGATCTGCCACCAGATTTCTTAGTGTGACAGACGTGAATGGCTTAGCTGTTGTGCTGCCTAATACATGAGATACTACCATGGGTTATCTCTGTGTTTTGTTGTTGTTGTTGTTTGCTTACTTTTCATATTTCTTAAGATTTCTGAGAGTTTAGGCTTCTGGTATCACGTGTTTCTGTCTCAGGAGAGCTGTATTTCCCAAAGAACGTTAGCCCTGCAGGTCAGTCCTGCCATGTCCCACTGGAGAACCTGCTGTCACTGCTCCTGGCATTGCAGTGGGAGGTAGGAAGGGCTACTGAAGTTGTATGTCTGCATTTTTACTGTGTGCACATATATACAGTAAGTCTGTGATGATGGTTTAATTAACTTTTAAGTCTTATATACAGGATAGAAAATAATTGTCTGTTTCTCCTGTCTTTTCTAACATATTTTTTTAAACACTGAACAATTCAAACAGTTCCCAGAGATTTCTGGTGTATATGATGATTAAAACCTGTGAAGCTCATTTATTTATTTATTTGACTGGTAACTAAATGTTTTTGAAGTTTTTGGCTATACTGGCATGGGAAAAGGCAGCAGTTTCTGTAGATAATTTTCATGGGGAATGTTACTCTGGGCAATTGCACTTTTAAAAGGAATTTCTTCAAGAATTTCCTTCAGGCTTGTGTTTTTTTCTTAAGATGGGTTTTAATGAGATTAATAAAAAGTCCTTCCCAGTGGAATAATAAAGTAAATGCTTACTCTTTTTTTTTTTTTTTTTTTTTTGGTTGAATTTGCAACATCAAGGTTCTAAATGTCAAAGGAAGTGGCAACAGGTAATATATACAAATGTGAGTAATTTTACCTAGGCCATGTGAAGGGTGTTGGATTTTTGACCGATTCAAAACATAGCTGTGGTGATAGATGGGGAAACTCCAACTGTAAGAGGTGTAATGGGGAGGAAGTTGTGTAATGAGGGGGTGGCTGAGGCTAGCCAAATTTGGCTGAAATATTATGAAACATTAAGAATATTAAACTATAGTAGTGTTTGTGCTATAAATAATGTTATCTACGTATGTTTGTAATTAATTTAACTGCTTGCATACCTAGGTTTTCCAAGCTGTGAATACAAACCTGTAGCTTTCAGCTGTTTCTGCTAAGTAAATAGACATACATGTATATACACATAAAGGCAGAATGTAGACATAAGGGCAGTTAAGAGCTTTCTTTAAATGCTGCTGTGTTTGTCCTGTTGAACAGTGTTCTTAGCACTTCCCTCTGCAGGGTTGTTCCTTTCAAAAGAGCTGAAAAATAATGGAAGAGCTTTTCAGTGCAGGCAGCTGATAAGTCGGTCACAGTGAGGTTAGCTAAAGCGTGAAATATAGTAGATAGGAGAAGAACATGAGGGTCATGATGTACAGGCAGTCAAACCAGTGTCTTTTAAGGAAACTTTTAGGCTGAATAGACCAGTTTAGTTATTGAGGTAGGGAAAAAAAAGGTGAACAATGCTAAAATAGTGGAGACAACTGCTGAAAGAAAACAGAGTTGAAGTGTGTACGTGTGCGTGTGTGTCTGTTTTAAAAGGGGATCTGGATGGAGTGGCATCCAGAGATTCCTTCCAACCTGACTTATTCTGACTGCTTTGGCATAACCCAGACACTACTGCTTGCTCCTTACAATGGAAAATAGATGGACCTTAGTAACTCTGAATTACTTTCTCTGCGTATTAACCCCAGAGAACCCGCAACTAGTTTGGGTGCTGGCTCCAAGTAAAGTGTGTCAGTATGTGCTTGAGAGGTATACATGGTTAGGGAGGGTGGCAGCAGGGAGTGAGATGCTGCATTCCCAAGCCTGTCTTTGAGAAGGTGCAGAATTTCCAAGCCTGTCTTTCTGAGAAAGCTGCAGACTGGTTGTTCAAATGATTTCAATGCAAGTGCCTCCATCACCAGGTTGGAAACTGGTGAATGTTGTGTCTTATTTCTTGTATGGATTCACGGCTTTAAGAAGTGAATCTTTGAAGGAGGAAGAGGAGGAAGCTGGAGATTAAAAAAAGACTGAGAGGAAGGGTCTGGAAAATTACAGAATCCTAGAACAACCCGAGTGGCAGTGACTGTCAAGGATCATTGAGTTCTACACCTGGCTTCGTACAGTACCATCCCAAAATTAATCCACATGTCTGAGAGCATTTTCCAAATGCTTCTTGAACTCTGGCAGGCTTGGAGCTGTAACCGCTTCCCTGGGAATGTATTACAGCTGTAACGGCCTAACAAGAGCTTGTACAGCGATCCTTTGAAATGCATCACTGCACCAGGGAGAACAGTTGCATTCTGGAACAAAATTAAATATTTTTGTTGTGTGTGTTCCTTAAAGGTGAATATAGTTTAATACTAGTTGAGAATGCTTTTCTTGAAGAAAATAATGGATTCATTAACTTGGGGTGTAAAGGAATCTCTAGTAGATTATGAGCTTTGTATGGAGCTGCAGGGACTTCAAGTAACAGGTGTCGTGGTGCATTAGGTTCCAAGAGTAAGTTTTCTGGCAAAAAATCATTTTATTTCTGGGAAACTTAGTTTTCTTGATGTATCCTTGTTTGGGGGATGGTATTTCTGTTTCTAGCAGAGTGCTGTCCCTAAGCATCTCTTGAAGGTTCTATGTCCCTCAGTTATATATTTCACATTTATGAAATTTAAGTCCATTCCAATGGAAAAATCAATAGAAGAACTTTACTTCACACTTTCTGTAACATAATTGGGGTGGGAGACCAAACAGTTGTAGAAACTGTGGTGGTGACTGCTAGTTGGACGGACTATGGAGTTGGAGCTCTCTTTGGTGGTTCATGCTGACAGTTTAAATGAGAAAGCAATAAATAATTAAAACA